TGTGTGTGTGTGTGTGTGTGTGTGTGTGTGTGTGTGTGTGTGTGTGTTCTCTCAGGAATGGTCAGTCTCTGGGCACAGCGTTCAGCAACATTAAGATGGGTCCGGGCGTCGCTTACTTTCCTGCCATCAGCCTCTCCTTTAAAGAGTCGGTGGCTTTCAACTTCGGCAGCAGACCGCTCAGATATCCTTTTACAGTCCACACCACACACACGACGGCTCATCTAGTGTTTCATCTGTTCTATGCTTTTGAAATGAAAAACTAACTAAAGTTATGTCAGTTTATTGAAACTGTTGGTTGTTGTTCACCATAAACAATAATGTTAATGTAAGAAGCGCTTTACACACCTCTTACCTGTTCAGTGTTTGTCTTTAACCTGAGTGTGATCACGTATCCTGTGGACGGCTACATACCGCTCCAGAACCCCCCAACTACAGACCTCATGAAAGCCCACAAACTGCTGGGCTACATCAAGAATGTCCTCTCCACTTCCATCGACGCACAGGTAGGAACATGTGGTGGTCTGTACATGGGTAGGAACGGGTGGTCTTTCATGAAACAAATAATTACTGTTCCAGATTAAACTAGTTGTAATCGTCTGTTTGCATCAGCTGGGTTTTCCTGCAAGCTTCATGCAAAGTTATTTTTCTGTCTCATTTTCGGATGAAGTCCAACATGATGACTTGAGCTCCTTTGAGTTGAACCTGTTGTGTGTTTGTCTGCAGGAGGAGAGGTTGGTGGAGAAGGACTGTTCAGTCTGGAGGCTTCATGGAGAACCTACAGTCCTCGTCACCATGGCTCACATCTTCAACCACTTCGCTCCGCTCATGGTGACGCAACCTTCTTTCTTTTTGGTCTTGTGGTCGTGTGAAAAGCGAAAGTGCTCGATGGCCTTCTGACAATGTTCAGATGGTTCCATTCTTTAAAGTGCATTCCCCCCCCCCCCCCAATTAGGTTCACTACTATAAAGGTACATGTTCTATATCTAATTGGTGGAAGAGTTCCAAATTTTTGTTGGAAAATTGTTGGTTTTATATTTGTTTTATTGTGGTTTTAGAGTAAGGCAGTGAAAGTGTTGATGTTGTTAAAGGTGAGGACAGAAGCAGTTTGATGGACATGATGAAAGTCTCCCGGTTGAATCTTTCTTCAAAAGTTAAACCTTCTAGAAGCCTAGCCTTAAACGTTGAGCTCAAGCTAAAGACGACTCGGTTTAGAGAACTGATTTTATAAACTGCAGTTTAGTTTTAATTTTAGGCTCAACTAAATATTTTCACAGAAAATTATGTTTTCACTTCCTGTGCTCAATGAGTGTGCAGGAGAGCAATTTGTTTTACAGTGTAAAGTAATGGTAGTATTGTTGTCTCTTACAGTGTAAAGTGTACCTGGTGGAGGACGTGCTGATGAACTTTCTGTTGGGGATTCTGGAGGGAGGCGGTTCAGTGGAACACCAGCTCATACAGCAGCTTCTGGATCTCTTCTGGCTGCTGATGGAGGTAAAAACACCAAAACAGTCACAACCAGTTTTCAGAACAAATCGTACCTGAAGACAGCGAGACACCCCGATGTCTCCTGACAGTCCGACTCACCACTGACAAAGGTCGCTATGCCACTTTTGATTAATTCATCAGGTGATTTAATAGTGATTCTGCAATTTAAGAACCCGCGTCCCCTAAAAATGACGGTCAAAAATGTTCTTTTGTATCTCTGCCCTTTTAAGTTGGCGTCATTAATTCAGTTGAGACAATTCCAAGGTTTATTTGCATAATCTTATTGACCGTAACTGACTTTACTTTACTTTGAATTGAGTACGCCATGTTTTCTTTCAAGGGTATTTGACTTTAGTTTGATTGTCCGATGTAACTCGGCACCATCGATAATGAGGACTCTCCCTCAGTGAGTGTGTTTTTAAATAAAACGACCAAACAACACGGAAAGTAGCAGCTGAGTTAATTACACAGAGCGATGCATGTTTAAAATAACTCCATCCAAATGTGTATACAAGTACACTCTGATTACTACTGAACATGGCAGAAACAAACGCATCATTTTCACTTTTTGGTATCTCAGTTTTCTGACTTCTCCTCTTTGTTTAACGTCTGTCTGTCTCTCTACGTGTGTGTGTGTGTGTGTGTGTGTGTGTGTGTGTGTGTGTGTGTGTG